CTTATGGATTACAAAAATTCTATCATGGGTTACAAAAAAAAAAATCGATCATGGATTACAAAAAAAAAAACAATTCGATCATGGATTACAAAAAAATTGATCAAGTATTACAAAAAAATCTATCATGGATTACAAAAAAATCGATCAAGTATTACAAAAAAATATATCATGGATTAAATAAAAAAAAAAAAAAAATCCGTACGGGACTTGCCGATTCACTGTACGGACTCACCGGTTCCGTACAGTGAATCGGTGAGTCGCTGTACAGAATCGTCTGGTTCTCTCTAGAACCGGACGATTCCCATTTTTTTGCCGATTCGATCCGTCCATGGCGATTCCCGAGTCGAACCGGGGCGTTTTTTTAAACACTGCTTTAAAGTATATTTTAATCTCAAATTATATAATTTAAAGCTTAAAAAATAGTGTTGATCGAGCATATCTATGAATTTTTTTTTGAAAATTGACGGCAAAAAAATGTATTATAATATGCACTATTTTTAAAACTTAAAATCCATTTTTTTTTCACATGGCCATTGATCTTGATGTCGAGATGATCAATTTGAGGATATTTGGGTATAAAAAATAACCTCTTCTAATGAAATTTTTGAGATGAACTCTTAATTTGATTGTTTAGAGGCTCGGCTCTCTATAATCTTTTTTGTTTGATCAATGGATAGACTTTTGTAAAGATGACCCTAGGGAAGTAGCGACTGGACCATGGTGCAGGGCCCGAGGGACCGTCCATGCCCCGCTTGGACCATGATATGTGGCCCGAGGGGCAGGCAGTCCCCGGCTCGGACAAGGCTCCTTTGAAGTTTGGACCGGACCAGGGCCGGCCCGGTCCACCGTTTCGATACTTGCTCCTGACTGATTGGTAAATTGGACCAAGAGTTGAAGAAGCCACAGCTGCTCATCTTCTAACAGGCTTTGCTTGGTTATCTTCATAGTCACCAACAAATCTCATCTTTCGATCTTTGCACTGTATTGTTCATTATCTGATTCTTCGTCATCATCATTTTTATGTATATTTTGTTCTTCTTCTCTTTCAATCCAGATTCCTGAGCAGGGTTCCTACTGCACTATAGTTAGACTTTATGTCTTAATTTCTGTCTTGAGTTTAATTTGTTGGAATTTGATCTTAGCGTAATCAAAAGCATATAAAAGTGTGAATGTATGGAAAGGATATGTCATGTCTTTCTCTCCTGTAATCTAACCTCTGCAACCTGCTTCATGGGGCTTCTAGTGACATGCTCATTGCTTGTTTTTTTTTTTAATGAAGTGGTTATTGAATTCAATGGTTTCCATATTGCAATTTGTGTTTTTGTTTGGCTTCTCATTTCTTTTGGTAAAACATGGACCAGATAATGGGAATGGTTGCATCTATTGTACTTTTAGTATATAGTCTAAATGAGTTTCTTGCATTTCTATCAGTATGTCTTATTTCTCTTGAAGGTTATCTTGCATTTGTCTTTTTTTTATAAATATTAGGCCATCTTGGGGATAGACCCCAAATAATTGCGATAAGGCCTAGATGATGATGATTAGGTGATACTGAGGCAGGGTTTTGCAAGATACTCTATTAATGGCATTACTGACATTCCAAGCAAATAAGTATTTACAATTTTGCATTAGGAACACAGTGTAGTTTTCGCAGTTTCTTGAATATCATTTCTGTGTAAGTTTTGCATTGAGATCTCTATGTAGTTTTCGCATTTTCTCGAATATCATTTCTGTGTAAGTTATTCTCATCTGCAGAGCATGAAATCTAGTCGGGATTTGAAAGGGTCTCCAAGTTCTAGTTGTTCCAAAGGATGTGAATATAAGAGCAAAAACCCCCTGGGCATATGGAAATCGAATGGACCCCTCCAAAAAAAGAAAATGATTTCTAATCCCCTCCTTACCTTTTTCATTATCCCTATTACAATATTTACTCTTTTTTTTTTCTAATGACTCCATCATCCAAACCTGGAAAAGCTCCCCCTCTCTTTCTCCGGAAAACTCCCTTAAACCCCCATATCTCTCTCATCTCCTGAACCTCACAAGTAGATTAAATGAGTCATAGATTCCATTTATATGATGAGGTTATTTGAAAAAGAAAGGGTAAATATTGTAATTTGGACAATGAAAAATATGGGCGTTAAACGCCCTTTTCTTTTTTACTTAGAGGTGTCCATGAGGTTTCTGTGGACCAGGAGGGTTATTTGGGATTATGATTATGGAGAAGGTGTATACATCTTTTCCCAATACTAATAAAATAATGGGAACCTGCCAAACTCAACCGGTTCCCATGTGTATTCTTTTGGACTTGCGTCCTGCTGTGTCCGAGTGACTTAAACAATTCACTCTCCTGAGTTCTCTTTCATGCTTTATATATTGGTCAATTTTATTCATTCATATGCATTCATTATTTTCTCAAACTGTTTTGTCATATATAAGGTTTGTTAAATTTAAAAGTTCGTTAGGTCTTTGCTGCTCTAGTGTGCTTTCATTTTACCGTAAGCACACCCACATTAAGGGCTCAAAGATTTTCTCTACACTATTTGTTATACCTTCATGCATTGCATGATTGATGTACTTTGATTCTGCTCTGTGCACTCATCTTGATTGCTTAGTAAACAAAACCTGACATGAAGGTATCATAGGGTCCTCGTTGTACTTTTTATGAACCATTACCTTTAGAAATATGCTTGTCATGTGCTGGTCGGGCAAATGCTTGGGTCATATGCTTTTAGATATGTGTGCATCTTATACTGGTCGGGTAGGCTCCTTACTTTGGGTGCATTTCATGTTATGACCCATGACCGTGAGCTAGATTAGGAGTTTATGATTTGTTGCAGTGGTCTACAAGTTTGGATATGAATGAGAAATATGGTTTCTTTTATTCGCTCTGTTTGTCTTGCTAAAGAATCCTCATGGTGCATTGCTCTTTCTTTGTGTTTCATCAATCTTTCTTTAGATACTTTTCTCGCTGTCTTTGGAAACTTGGTATTGTGAAGGTGCTTATAATTCATAAATAGCAACTATTCTTTTGGTAAATTTTTAAGGAATGAATTTTCTTGGTCTTGTAAACAAACTATTGCATCTGAAAGACAAAAACTTCATGGATCTATTTCACCCAGTGGAGAAATTTTAAGGTAAAGCCCAAGATGTTAGAGAAAACTTAAATTCAGTTCATTATACACAAATGGGGCAAAAAGACAGTGGCATCCTCTAAGACGACCCTGTCTTTTGGCACATTACTCTTCCTTCCAGTTTCTCCCTCTTTAATCTATATGTGGATAAGATATTTCTTATACTTACTACCATGGTTATGTGACGTCTTATATTTTGGGAAAATTAACTACAGTCCCTATAGACATGAAGGTGTTGTTGTCCAATGGATGCTTGGAATATTCATTAACAACAAGAAAAAAAATGCATGGTTGGGAAATTGTGTAGAAATATTTTCCCTCATACCTTTGGGTAGAAATGCACTCTTGGTTTGATGCCTATGTATCGTTTTTTGTGACCCTTGGGTACTCATATTTTTTGTTGTATGTACATTGTACTCAGTATTAAATCCCACATGTTAAAATTATCGCTTTCTACAGCAATAGCTATAGATGTCTGAAGATTATGAATTTGTATTACCTTTTACTAAAATCATATTTAGGAGAAAGAATATTAGTTTTCAATCCGGCAGTATGTAATCTAATAAATTCTTTTTTTTTGGGATCAGTTTGTTGATTGCCTGTCTTTTTGTCGAACCACAGTGGAAGAGATACATATATTAGGAGTGTCGTCATTTCGGGTTATATGAGCTGTTACTTCATCATTAATGCTCCTATAATTATGGGAGATTTATGTTGATTGGTCTTAATGGGAGCATGGATTAACAGGATCTCTATGTATGGATCTTTCTAAAGATGAAGAAATATTAACGAGGGCTCGTTTATTGCTGGTGAATATGAACAAATCGAGAATGAAACAAGAAATTAGAGACACATATTTTCTTTCTATGCTTCTATTTTTACTGGAAATTTGTTGTGTTTATACTTTATACTGAAAAGACGGTTCCTTCAGATTTCAATGATTCTCATTATGGATTTTAAGTAGATTTTGAGCATGTGAGAGAGATGTCTACATATGATAAATATGCTTTGCACCATTCGGGTTTTGATTGTTTCATTTCCACAAGGGAGCATAAAATCCTGAAAAGAATGATGGCATTGGTAATTGTTTGAAAAAGTTGCAAGTCTTGGACTTTGAAATCATTTATACTATAGAAATATTTGTATTTAAGTTGGAACTCCTAAAACGAGATGACTATAATTTATAAATCCATTTCTCCAAAAGTAAGTGTAATCCTCGAAGTTGAGGTCCTTCAAGAGTTCTTTTTTACTATGTAAAAAGTAACCAAGATATTGAAAATAGTGATCTAACATGCATTCGTTTTGTGGCTGAAGTTGGGAAATACTGAAACAAATTTCTATTCCTTGCCAGATAAAAAATTACAAATTTTTTAGTGCATAGGAAATCTATGCAAATAAAATTTTATATAATGATTAGGACGTTATCAATATATTCATATTAAACAAAAGTATCAATGTGCATCTCATGTTTCTAATTCTGGTTTTTTAATAACAGAAGACCATCAACATTGAAGCTTCTGTGAGCAAAACAAGAACCAAGAATGCCTTGCCTTGTGTGTGGCAGCAGTGATACCACTTACATGAACCTTCACCACACGTTTTTCTATCCTCCCCAGATATCCAGCCCTGGCGCCGGAAGCTTATGCAGCAGCTGCAAAGATGGGTCAAAGAAGTTGATGGACTTCCTCCAAGAGCTTGATAAAAACCCAGAAAAACCACCTCTTGTTACTTTCCGGCCTAAGGTAAGTACATTTTACGCTTACACAAGAGGAAGGGAAGGCTGATGTTTATGAATCCGGGATATATGACTCTTTTTAACAAGGGAAAGTGTTCTGCACTTGCATCTAGGATTTCTACAGTTTGCTAGCACTTGCCCAACCATCTGATGTCAACTAGGGACGTTTTGGGTGTGTCTGCCCGTCAAAACATTAGATGGATGTTTAACAAAGGAGATGGAAATCCCTATCATTTGATGTTGATATCAATTGGTTGAGAAGGTGCTAGTCAACCGTAGGAAAGCCAGACTGTAGCAGTGTACTCACTATAGATGCTATTTGAGAAACATTGATATCTTAGAGTTGTATTTTTTTTGTTTGCAAGTGGAATTGGTTTTTATTTGTTGGGAATGAATTTGATGATCCATATAAGCATTAGATATATTTAGTCACACAAGTGTCTATCACTATCCAATCATTCAGTGGGTGGGGATGGAGAGAGACTCAGATTTACCTCTTGGGCCATCATGTCATGTTCTGGTCGGTTACACTCTCTCCATTGCTGTTAATCTACTGAGGATTGAATGTTTGAAATCATATTACCATAAAAGAAAGAATAAGGATTGTGTCTAATGCACCGGATCCCATCAATACTCTGAAGGTAAGTGTGCTTGGACAAGAATAGTACTAGGATGGGTGACCTCCTGAGAAGTCCTTGTGCTGCACCTTTACGGGTAGGGGCCCATCATCCCCACTAATTCACCAAAAAAGAAAAAAAAAGGAATAAGGATTGTGTGTAACATTTCCACCCAAAATGCTGTAGGCTTGTCATTTATGGGGAAGCTGAACAAAAACATGGTCTGCATGATCATTTTGACAGTCTATCAAGCAAGACAAAAATCTTTAACCAGGTTAGAGACAGTTTAACTGGGTTTCTCTCCGTGGTTTTGAAAACCTCTTTCAGACTGAGAATGTGGAATGTATTCTGTTTTTAAGACCCTTGGAGAAGTTACTTTATTATCTTTTTGGTTATCTTGAACAGAGATCTTGCATTGGTCTTTTTGCAGGGGCTTTCCTCTGCTTTGTGTTGGTTGAAGGTACTCAAGGAAAAAGGGGATCTTTCTAATGAAAGACTTGGGTTTTTGGAGGAAATAAGTTTTGCTTTTGAAAATAGGATTCACACCGATATTTCATTGAAGCCTGACGATGGACCTGCTATATTTGCACACAAGGCAGTCCTGGTAATTATTTCAATTAGATCTCTGAAATGTAATTAACTTTCAGTTGTTGCTTATTAAATTGGACGATGTGAATAACCCTTAACCACCATGCTTGGTACACCAAAGCATATGCACTTTTTGTTGCTAACTTACCTGAAAAGGTATTTACTTAAGAACAAATTCAACCCTTTTTTCTTATATAAAAGTTAGACTTTGTCTGTCATGAGATTTGACAAGTATCCCAACAAAAGTTTTTGATAATATCCAAAAGTTGCTACGGAAATCATAGCTATTGGCTCTCAAGCTCTCGGCTCAGTAGTGAAGTGGTTGACTCAATATCCAATATTTGAAGTCCATTCAGGAAATTATCCGTTACAAAGAAAGGTGTTCATAATAGTTATCATAACACTTGTAATTTAATATTCCAGCCATCCACTTTTTAAAGATGCATATGACTATCTAGGTGCCAGAACATGTAGGAAGGCATGTTCCAGTATTGCACCTCTGCAAAACTTAAATGCTTTGAAAGTTGTAGTCCAATATGTTTTCGCATTTTGTAATATGGCCTAATCAAATCAAAATCAAAGTGGATTTGTGAGGAGTTAAATTGTTATGAAAACCTAGAAGAAAATCATAGTATCGTTTTCACAAGACCTTGACCTGTTGGAAATTGATAAAATGTTATCATCATCATCATCAAAGCCCTTTCGTAACTAATTGGGGTTGGCTACATGAATGTTGGTTTGCCATTTTGCTCTATTAAGAGCCATATCTTTAGTGCCGTAAGTCCTCAATCTTTTCTCACTACTTCCAACCGTGTCCTTTTTGGCCTACCCTTTATATTTTTTGAGCTTACCCCTTGAACTAATTCGTACCTTCTAGTATGTGTTGTACTGGGTCTTCTCCACATATGGCCAACCCACCTAAGTCTACTTTCCCTCATCTAATCTCCTATTGGTGTCACACCTAAATCTGCCGAATGTATTCATTTTGTATTATATCCCTTATTGTCTTGTTACTCATCCGCATCTCAACATCCTCAATCTCAACTATACTCATTCTATCTGCCCCATAAAGTAAAGCTTGTCTCACAGCTGTCCTATAGAACTTGCCTTTCAACTTCATTGGCATGCGACGATCACATAAAACTCCGGTTGCACATATTCACTTTGTCCACCCATCTCTAAATCTATGTGCGACATTCTCAATCTCTCTATTTTCCTGGATTGTCGACCCAAGATATCGAAAATGCGTTTTTTTTAGTATTTCTTGACGTCAATCTTAACTACATCCTCATCTTTACTCATATTTTTACTAAACTTGCATTCCATATACTCTGTCTTTGTCCAGCTAATTTTGAAAGTTTTAGATTCTAGAACATCCCTCCAAAGTTTTAACTTTGTATTGACACCATTTTGGGTATCATCGATAAAAAATATGTCATTTGCGGATAACATGCACCACGGTATGTCGTTTTGTAGGTGTCTAGTCAAGTCATCTATAACTCAGACAAAGAGGTATGAGCTCAATGTTGACCCTGACATAGACCTATTGCCATTGAAAACTCACTCGTCTCTCCACAAGTTGTTCGTACACTAGTTAGCTCTCCCTCGTACATATTTCTCACCAAGTTGATATAGTGTATGGAGACTCCTTTTTTGTCCAACACCTACCAAATCAAATCTCTAGGTACTCTATCATAAGCTTTTTCTAGATCAATAAAGACCATGTGGAGGTTTGTTTCCTTCGTCTTAAACTTTTCAATCAGTTGGCTAAGTTATAAAATAGCCTCGGTTGTTGACCTCCCTGGCATAAAACCGAATTGGTTTTCTAATAAATTGATAAAATGTTATCGTGTGTTTATTTCACCATGTAGGCAACTATATCCAGAAATATCTTGAGTTCATCTATGATAATTTTCTCTTAAATCGTCATAAAATTTGTTTCTTTGGTCGTAGGTGTCAACTATTTGGAACATGTCCTTTCTGATGGGAAAATACAATAAAATATTGGTTTATATCCAGGATGGATGTAAACAGGTTCTTCAACCTTCGGATGTAAACAAAAGGACGGTTTAGGGCTGTCGTTCCTCTGCTCATAGCTCATTGAGGAACTTTAATCTTGTTTCTATCTTGCAAGGATATAGTTTTGATGGACTTGGAGCAAAGGAATGATGACCCCGAATGGTACATTGTGGACATTGGATGGTTTTTATATCTGTGTCAGTTTTAAAATGGCACTCTAGTATATGGACTGCTTATATAGACTTGGGAGTTTATTTTTCTTGATAATGCTGACTGTAATTGCACTACCCTTTTGGTGCAACAAACTTCCTGTTTGGTAGTTTGTCATAATTATACTTCTTATAACTGGGAATCATACATTATGTACAAGCCGCAAACACTCGCGTTAGAACCCATTAGAAGTTTCCGAAGAGAACCCGTGAGAAGTTAACATTCTTTATAGTGCTCGAGGTTGATTAAGATGCAACTGAGCAGTTTTTGTGTATGTCTTGCACCTTTATCTTTACATGACATGTGTTAGTACTCAATTACTAAGGGGAAAATATTTGCTATTATATGAGTTGCCTACAGTTTGGTTGCCATCATAGGACAGTGGGAGTGTGTCACTTGTCCACTTGGTGTCCATGGAAGAAATGATTTTGATGGGCTTTGAGCAGATGTGTGAGACATGCCAACCTTCCAGTGTTGACATCAGATGGTTGGGGCCTACAAGCAAGTTGCAGAAAACCCAGATGCTAGCATTGTATATGAACCCCTTACTGTTCGCATATTACTCTTTTCTTTGACGCTGGATCTAGTGAGAGGGCATCCCAAGTGGATCTTCACCTTTCTACCAGTGATTGCATGAAGGTCATATCTGCGATTAGTTGGCATATTGTTCTATCAATCAACAGCAGAGATAATTTAACCCTCATATCCGGGGCAGGCAGATGACCTTCGGTCTCTTCCTTTATGATGTTTCCTTCTTGTGATACTTATCTAGTTCTATGTGCTCTAGTCTATTCCTTGCCCATTTAGCTCCTTACCGATTATGCATATCTGCCTTATTCTATGCACCGTTTGCTTGTGTTTTTATGAATGTAAATTTGAATTATAGACAACTTGAACTTAGAGAAACCTATGCTTAAAGAATAGGCCCTTATTAATTATCTTGCTTTCTTTTATATTATTTGATTAGATTTCTGTTATTATGCTCTCTTTTGTTATGGTTTATTTAGAGAAATTTGCATTAAGTTGTTTTTGCTTCTTCTTATTTTATTTACTATTGTAGAATTTGAATATTTGTGAACTTCTCGATATTTATAATCTTTGTGGACAAAATCTAGTATAGACATTATGTTGCTTATATTACACAAAAAAGGAGTTAAAAGTATGTCTTTGTTATTAAAGATTTCTCTTTGTTTTAGGCATCTAGATCTCCCATTTTCAAAACTATCTTGGAAGCTGATGGATGTAAAGCACCACCTACAGAGGCTATCTCTCTACCTGGTATTAGCTCCCAAGAGTTCAAATCATTGTTAAGTTTCCTTTATAGAGGTACATTGCCTGATGAGGAGTTCCGAAAACATGCACATGCGCTTTTAGTTGCTTCAGATAAATATGATATCCCTTTCCTTAGGAAGAAATGTGAGCTTCAAATCCTTGGAAATCTTGAATCATCAAACGTCTTTGAAGTTCTTAAGCTTTCACAAAATTGCTCGAGTGAAACCCTTAAAAAGAATGCCTTGGAAGCCATTGTCATGCACCATGAGGAGATACTCAGCTCGAAGGAATATGTTGAGTTCGGTCACTCGAATCCAGACCTCGTAATGGAAATCAGCTGGGCCCTATCCAAGAAACTTAGCAATACAACCTAAAGATGATGATATGGCTATATCGACACTCGTTAAGCTTTCCTTGTGTATATTGCTTTCATGGTCATGGCTGGTCTCATTTTTATGTACATATTTCTCATGGCCTTTGCAACATTTAGTTAGTAGCAAATGCATGTTCAGTCACTAACATGAGACAAACATGGAAGGAGGTTGCATATTAATTTTTTGCATCTTTGAAGTTCATGGGAGGTTATCTTTGTATTACATGAGCAAGAGGATCCCAAGTAATTATGGCGTCCATTTTTGTATATCTGCGAGTTATTTGTTGATTGAAACAGCTGAAGTGAGTGGACAAAGAGAGAAAGGGAAATACTTAATCCCATGCTTGTTTCTTGCTTGGTTGTCCTGCTGCTCTTGAGAAGTGATGTCGGACTTTAATTACCAGGTTTCTCTGCTTCATTTCAATCTTCACACATATAATATGTTAATTCCTTGAAGGACAATAAAATCATAGGATCATAAACTGTTTCTACGATTATGGGATCTTTATATGATCCTTATTTCATTGCCAGTTATACATGCGGTTTTTTCCCTTACGTTTTGGTTTTTGATGGGTTTAAATTCACAACCTCTAGGTTGGAATATCTAATTGTCTTGCAACAGTTCTGTGGCCTAGAGAACCAGATTGCACACGCAATCATTCGACATGGTTTCATAAAATTAGTACGTCAAATATGACAATAAATTTTTTTTTTTGTGTGTGATTAAACTAATCTTAGTATTGTAACACTAGACTGCAGGCAATTCAACGAGGTTGAAGATCATTGGCATTAGAACCAAAGAAAACCAATAACAGGCAATTCAACGAGGTTGAAGATCATTGGCATTAGAACCAAAGAAAACCAATAAGAAATGGGATCCGAAAATTTGCATTCGAGGAATTGGCACTATAACTTCTATGAGTGGTTGTGTTCACGAGAGAGAGAGAGAGAGAGAGAGAGAGAGAGAGAGAGAGAGGAGGGAGGGGGAGGGGACGGCGACGTCGTCGTACGTAGTAGTAGTTAAGTTAAGTTAGGTTAGGTTAGGTAAGGTAAGGTAGGTAGGTACGGTACGTGTACGGTGG